AAGAGGCTTTGAAATGTACTTCAGTAAAAAGTACCCATAACTAGCAGCTGTTTTAAAGAGTACCTGACCTCCCTTTATATTAATAGAACAATAATGTCATTGTTAGCTAATGAATGTTTCCATGGTGACCAACGGCAACATGACAACGTTTCCATTGGTCCCTCTTCTTTAGAGAAGACCAGGAAATGATGGATACACGGATCGTGTTCAAATCAATAGGCACGCAATGACTCTAAATAATAATGATCACGCCACCAAACACACATTCAGACTAAAGGAACCAGCCTGTTTGGAAAATGAGAGAAGTAGAAAGTACAGGTATTTGAGTTCAACATGTGAGAAGTAGAAAGTACAGGTATTTGAGTTCAACATGTAAGAAGTAGAAAGTACAGGTATTTGAGTTCAACATGTAAGAAGTAGAAAGTACAGGTATTTGAGTTCAACATGTAAGAAGTAGAAAGTACAGGTATTTGAGTTCAACATGTAAGAAGTAGAAAGTACAGGTATTTGTGTTCAACATGTAAGAAGTAGAAAGTACAGGTATTTGTGTTCAACATGTAAGAAGTCAAAGTAAAAAGTCATCAGAAAAATAAGTCGTGGAGTAAAGTACTCACACCAGAAAAATGTACTTAAGTACAGAAACAAAGTATTTGTACTCCATTCCTTTCCAAGCATTTATGATAAGGGTGAACAGTTAAGTTTGTTATCGATCCAGCAAAGTTGTGCAGGCTCTTTCACAGCTTCAGTCTTCAGTATAACGTAGAAAATATGTGACCTTATCCCAACTCATTTACCCTCGCACACATACCATAGAATCTAGGAATAAGGATTTTATAAAAGACTTAAATGTACCAGCTTCAGTGCGGTCTGCAGATTGGCAACACTATAAACAAATCTTTATCTTGGCTGTCTTTAAAAAAAACCTGCTTGGTTGTGAAGCAATTAAGTCAGAGATTGAAGACGCTGACTGGCTGTGGACTCTCCTCTGAAATGCAGTATGTTTTTCGACAAGTTATCAGCCAATAAAAGTAGTTATTCCCAGAGGATTGTTGACATCCAGCTGGATTCAGCTTATTAACCATAGACACATGCATTTCCAAGCATTTGGACTACCTATGTAAATGTAGTATCTTTTCAATTTACACACGACATCTATTGCACGTCTGTCCGTCCTGAGTGTGGTCTGCAGATTGATAACACTATACAAATATTTGTATCGCCTCATTTTGAAGCAAATAGGTCAGAGATTGAATATGCTGGACGGCTGTAGACTGGGATATGTTTTTGACAAGTTATCAGCTAATAAAAGTTATCCCGACTCATTTCGATCCTGTTTTCTGCCTCCAGATGTTTCCACTACAAGCTCCTTCACGACGCGAGGTGGAAAGCCTACATCAACATCTGCATGCTGGTTCTCTTCTGGCTGGTCTTTGTCTCTCTGGTGGTTTCTTACGCCAAGATCGCCCTCAAACTCCAAAGGAGATCAAAGGAGAAACCAGACCTTCCCAACGCCGCCCGATACAAACGCACCGCCAGAAAGTCCTTCTTCATCCTCTTCCTCTTCACCGTCTGCTTCGTCCCATATCACATCGTCCGGGTTTTCTACATAAAAACGCAGATCACAGATACGGCGTGTATCTGGATGGACGTGGCAGACAAAGCTAACGAGGTGGCATTGCTTTTCTCGGCCCTGAACAGCTGCCTGGACCCCGTCATGTACTTCCTGTTGTCTTCGTCTGTGAGGAAGGAGGTTCTGCGCCTGGTGAGCAGCGTGTTCTGTGTGCGAGATGCTAATGGGGTTATCGGTAGCAGCTCCACGGTGGAGAACGTTAGGTCAGAGAGAGGACAGGCGAACATAAACTTAAGCAGCCAATTAAAGGAGGCGACAACCCAGTGATGACGTATTAAAGTAGACCAAGTTAGCATCCAGGGGGCTGCCTCAATACATAAACAAGCTAACGGTGGCTAATGTTAGGCTATAAAGCACATGTGTCAAACTCAAGGCCCGGGGGCCAAATCCGGCCCTTGGTGGATTTAATTTCGGCCCGCAGGATAATTTCTAATTCCTATTAGATCTGGCCCTCCGGTATATTGCTCTCACCCCTTCACTCCATCCTGAGGGTCTCCTCAGCTCAGAGCCTGAGCCCAAACATTGATGACCTTGTATGACACCAAGTATCTGAGCTAGCATCACAGAGCAGCACACTGAGTTTAATGGATGTTTCCTTCTGCACTTTCTCTCTCACGACAACAGGGCATGTTTGGTTTCTCTTTGAGGGAAATAGTTTTGTTGAAGCTGTTGTTGGGAAAATGT